AGGTTTGGAGTGAGGGAGATGGGAGAATTGTGATGGAGGTGAGGGCTGGAGGGGAGCTGTCAGCTGGGCCTCAACCCGGCAGAGGGAGAAGTAGAGGAAGGAACGAGGTTAACGCCTTTTGGGGATGATTCGAGGGGGGGGAATGGGGCCAAATAGGATATTTTTTGTGTCTGGGGGTTTATCTATCCGTCTAGAATGGGTTGGGTGGGTTGTGTGTGTTTGGAGGCTATAGGAAGATCCCAGGTTTATGATGCCAATTGGTGCCTGGGAGTGTGTTGTATTTTTATTTCTTTATGGATGTTATGCGTGAGTTATACCACTTATTTTTGGCATTAATTAAAAGGGTAGAATAATGTTTGCTTGGATGATTGGAGCTGAACAGTATCTATAGCAAATCGCATTACAATAAAAGTAATTCTTTACAGTATTGACGCACTTGCCAGAGACTAAGTCCCCAACTTGATGTCACAAAATTTATTCATCAGCCTAAGTTGCCATGATAAGACGTTCCAATTTGCCCAAGGGGAGGGTTGATCCAGGTTAGGGAACACACAAATGCTCGCAGTGACATCAGTCTTGAGTCGCAGCTGTGGTCATTTTTGCTTACTCCCAATTTTCTGTCTTACAGATATATGAATACCAACATAACTAACACACAAAAAAAACAACGTCCATCCATATTTAAAAACAAGCATGAATAATAATCACTTGATTATTGTCACTTCAGAACATCATTTTTTAAAAGTGGAACACTATTGCTGTTGCTCACCTATAAATGTCCTTTGCCCACAGGTTGCAGCCCATACATTGTCATTGTTTACTACGATGTGTGAAAAATGACATATTTTCCAACCAGAAGGTTCATGGCAAGATAAAACAATCTCGAAAACATTGAGTGGATTTCTGCGAAGAGTGGCACTTTCTGTGATATTTTACCTTCATTTGTGGCATAACTGTTTGCACCTTATTATATCTTGTATTACATAGTACTGACGACAGCAAATTTTTGTCCCCCACTAGAATATCATATTCAGCTTGCCCTTACTTGATGCGTCTATACTGTAAAGAATAAAAATATAAATGATTGTAATTTGATAAAAAAGCTGCGTCACTAATACTGTTGAAATAGTATCCCTACATTGTTTCTGAAGTATTATGTCTTTATGAAGACAAGATTTTAGTAGAGGAAAAAAAGCTGCTGTCATCAGTACAAGAATTAATCTGCAGATATGAAGGGTAACACCACAAATAAAGGGGAATGATTGCAGAGGGCTCCACTTATAGCCTAAGTCCGCTTAGTGCTCCTGAATTTCAGCTCTATCTTGTTGTGCATACCAAGGTGAAGACCCTGAAGGGCGTGGAAGGCTTCACTCACAGCCTAAGTCCGCTTAGTGCTCCTGAATTTCAGCTCTATCTTGTTGTGCATACCAAGGTGAAGACACTGTTTGCCAGGGGTGTTGGGGGCCAGAAATCCCTGTAAACCCTCCCCTTGGCCAGTCCAGGCAATTTAATTAGTTGAGTGAAGTTTTTGATGTGGAGTTGGGGACTTAATCACTTATGAATGCATCTGTACTCCAAAGAATTACCAGGGCATGAAAAGTACCAAGGAAATAGAGGTAATATGTAGATATAGTAATAACAGTGACATATTATGTTAATGTCATGCAGGTAAGAGTCGCAAAGGATTTTCTTGGGGGTTCTACAGTGTATAACTCTCCTTATTTAACAAGGTTTCCTGAAAACCAGTGGAGCATTAACTGATGGGCACCACTATGACGGTAGAACCTTGTCAAGCAAAGGCTAATAATTCCTTGGCTAAAATTATAATAATTCTGTATATCTTGTTTAACCCATAAAGTTGATATGGCTAGGTCTAGTCACTTATGGTTACAGATAAATGAAGGTATTGCTCTAAAGAATGAGTGGTCAAATTCCATATGATGTTTCTATAGGCAATAGTCATATGGTAAGAGTAGGAATTTATGACTTGGTATGCACCTACAAAGACAAAATTACCCCCCACCCCCTAGAAAAAAGCTAAGAAGTTGATTGGCAGTATTTTTTTAAATTACTTTAGCTTCCCTTAAAAAAAGTAAATAACTAAATATACTACTTTTACTATTGCTATTTTTGGATCTGAGTCATGAGAATGATAATTTCCTTATGCTTACTCACCTCTAATCAGATTTTATGCTTTAGGACAATAATATTATGGTACAAGGCAGAGATAACATTACATGTATCCTGTTCATGGTATATACTGTTATCTTATTTCCTGAATTCTGAGATAAAATACAGTAATTTCCATATACTTGCAAATAATTCTAGGTTATGAAATTTCTTCTAATGTGTAATTAGCTCATATATTACAATTAGTTATTAAGTTATTGGCCAAGAACCCTTAATCTGTGTCTATTTCTCATCCATATCTTTTCACTGATTAATATCTTATCTCTTGGTATCTCCACTGACAGTATATGGAAGTGTCTTCTTGTACCCTCTTGATGTAGGAGCAAACATTGTCTTGATGCTATATCATATTTACAGTTTTTATTTATGTTGTTTTTCTCTGCTAACATTTTACATTAACATTTGTTGCTTATTGGCTAGTTGTGCTGTAGCCCAACCTCTCCATGAATCACACGTGTCAAATACCATTCATTCCTAAATGAATGTAGCATAAACATTCATGTTGAAAGTAAAGATAGGCCTTAAAACAGAGGCATTATATATACTGTTTATTCACTTTTGCACCCATAGATAAAAAAATAATGTCAACCTGATACTGATATTCTTGGGTATTGAATATATTGTTTTTGTATTTTTCAGAGATTGGGGTGGGGTTTGCCGCGTTTGGGGTCACCTTTATCTTCCTCGGAGTAATCCTCTTCTTTGATAAAGGACTCTTAGCCATTGGCAATGTAAGTCTGTGTGTAGATTTTCTTGATTTTATTCATGCACTTGAACAATAGAAATCTTTTTATATATTGATTAATATATAATAGTTGTGAAGTGAGTATAAAGATGAAACAAGATTTTCATATGATCAGAGGTGAATTTTTATTAAAAATCAAGGATAGAAAAGTCTCTTATTAGTCAGGAGATTCCAATCTTGATATTTTAGAAAAAAAGAAAAAGAAAAAGGAAAATCAGCTTTTGCCTTAGTAAAACAGAACCCCACATCTCTGTAACAGATCTTGTTCTTGGCGGGCCTCGCATTTGTGGTTGGCTTGGAACGCACATTCCGCTTTTTCTTCCAACGCCACAAGTGGAAAGGCTCTGGGGCATTCTTCGGAGGGATCCTGACTGTCTTGCTTGGCTGGCCCTTAATTGGCATGTGTGTGGAAGTGTATGGTTTTGTAATACTGTTCAGGTAAGTATTGAAGTTTTGTTTGCAGCAGGTATAATGATTTTGAAGTTTCATTTGTAGCAGGTATAATGATTTTGAGTATTATTGATATGGAATATACAGCTGTAGATAGGCAATTCTGCTTCAAGTTATTTAGCGTTCCATTACTGTTCAGATTTTATTTAGATAGTGTATGTTCATGCTTTATTGTACATTCTAGTCTGATGCATTTCCTTTTTTTTTTTTTTTTTCAGCGGATTCTTCCCAGTTGCAGTAAATTTCTTGCGCCGTATGCCAGTGATTGGTCAGTTACTCAACCTTCCATTCATCAGTGGTGTAAGTATCACGTATTTTGGTATAAGACAGATTGATGTAGCTTAAGTTCTGAATTGTTTATATTTATATATATTTTTTATTTGCTTTTTGTATTTAGTTTATGATTTTTTATTCATTTCCTTTTATTCATTCTTTTGCTAAGTAATTAGAGTCCCAGTGTGAAAGTTTGGATATCAGATTTAAGTTTGTGTAAAAGATGTGTAAAGGAGTGTAAAGGGATATCATACTGGGCCTAAAAATCTGTGTATTGGTCATTGGGTGCTCTGAACATGTTTTTCTCATGTTGTGGGCATCCTGCTCTTGGTGGCCAGAGAAACAGCTCAGTAACCCAAATACTGTTTGTAGGCTTTATCCAAGTTGCATGGAAATGTGAATTAATGGTATTATATAAGAATTCTTTTTTGAGTAATACTTGCTTTCAGATAAGGTTTTGATTTGCTACACAAATTTATGTATATACTCAAAAACATTTGGAATTATTTGGAAATGGAAAATATAGCCTCTCATTGTTATTTTGCATTTTGACGGTAGACTAAAGAAAATTTATATCGGCTCCACACAATTTCTACTGGAATGTACATCGTACTTACTACATTCATGTCAGTCAATTCTTACGCACCTCTTCTTTTACTTGTAATTTCCATTCCACATTTCATGGAGGACAACCATGCAAGCTTTCCATCTCATTTTTCATCTCATTTGTTAATGTCCCATCTATATTTACTAGAGCAGGGGATGAGGGTACACTGCGTCATTGGATAGGAAGTACAATAGAAAAGCCGAGGATTAGGGTGCCCAGCGACCAAGTGACAAAGATTTGTAGCCCTGTGTGATACCCCTTTGATATTTGTCTCTATTTTTGTACACTGAAGACCAGCTCTTAGAAAGTGCAGATTACACTGCTGAATCTGGCAGTTTATTCATGGTTTGAAATAATGGTAGTAGATTAGCAGCATCATGTTGGTGTTCTTTATTTGTTGAAGTTGAAAATAGGTGTTTAGTTCATAGTTGTGGTAATAGAGTAACTTGTTAATTATTTTGAATGGCAAATAGTGTGATGTATTCAAGAAGATAACCGTGATAATGGTAGAACAAAAGGATTCTTTGTAAGCTGTCTGATTTCTGTATGCATGCAACCTTCTCTACACAGTAACTTTGAGCAGGTTCTCTACTTTGTCAAATTATTGAATTGGCATTATGCATAATGGTTAGTAAGGAAGAGATATTTGTAAATAGATAAATGAATAAAGTATGAATTAAAAAGAAATAAAAGATGTATTGAATGTATCCAGCTTTCGTAGTAAGGATACAGAATTAGGAAGTGTAATATTTATGATAAAAAGAGAGGTATATAATGATTTGTTCTAAAGCCAACACAAAATTACTTTAGCTTAATGCAGTTAATATGATCCTGCTTTTCTGGCAATGATAATGAAGACTTGGCAAGGATTCCTTTTTATCATATTTTGGGGGGAATATTTTGTTTCGATTTAGATTTTCTGTAGAGAAGGCATGTGGAAGATAGGGTTTAGTGAAAGCTGTTAGTAAATTGAATATTATTTTCATGGTATTAGCAGCCCATTTTCTTATGATATTGGATTGGTATTAAGCATTCAGAATACCAGTTTATTAGGGACAGCACCAGGACCCACCATTTTCAGAATAATGATTGGGTGGAGACACATGTGAATATACTTATCATACTGTAACAGGTAATTTTACACCCCTCATCAATAATCATATGATCCCATTAATTTAGACTTATAACACAAATAAATTCCTTTAATTCACTACTATGCCATTCAGTATTGGCATTCATAATCTTTCCTAATAAGCTTTTGAGTAACTAACTAGAGCTGTTGAATGAAATAACTCATTGAGAAAGACAGGAGTGTTAAGGCATACATTGTTTACTGTAGTAGGAAAAAAAAAAGTGTGTCAAAATTCAGTTTAAAGGCATCATGTATGTGATATGTTTTCAGAAATAGACTATTTATTTGGTTCAAGGTATCAAACATGCTACATAGGGTCATGGATCAGAATTACCTGAGTGGAAAGCGATGATAATGGAAATCTTATAGCATTGATATTTGTGTGTACAGTAATATATACAATATTTATTAAAGGGGAAGTAGCTCTAGCGCGAAGTGCAGTACAGAGGGGAGGGATGGATAGAAAGGGGTGAATTATATATTGTAGATTACATAATCACAAAATAGATTTTAAAAAGAAAGGCAGATGACAGGTGGGACTAAGAATCATCATAAAAGTGAATGGGAGTGTGTTAGTAACTGCAGGTAAACTTACTGACCTAACTTAATCTAACCTGTAAAAATTAAAACATTTATTAAGCCTCCTCTATGCACCTTCTTAAAAGCTTTGCTGTTACAGGTAGCATTTGTAGTCTTCCACGATAGATGTCAGAATACCTCTTTCACATTTTCTTTTGTAGCCTAAAGTATGGGGAGAATATTTTAATTCCTCCTCTGTTAATTCTTAAAAGTAAAGCTGTCCCAGGTAGCGCAATTATAGTAACCATTTTGTCCATCAGTCAACCCAAAATTATTATGAAAAATGTAAGAATATTACAGTGATAAAGAAGGCATTTGAGAAAGATTTTGATGCTCCTTTTGATATGCCAGAATTCTATTATAACATGTAAAAAAGCATCTGATAAGCCATGGTATCTCTTAAATGGGGATGCTCTGTGTATAGAATAGGATTAAACGAAATGACAGAAAGGTTGAGACCTATTGTTGTAAAATTTAAAAGTTCTATTTAAGCATTAGTAAATACAAGTCCATATTTATTTGAATATACTCGATATGTATAAATCGAACACACCCAAATTTATAAGTTACCTATCATCGGAGTATTGCCAGAATATTTGCATGCTTTCAAGTGGTAGAGCAGTAGTCTTTCACTGTAATCATAAACCGTCACACCTTTGGATTTAGATTGACAGGATACAAAACGGGTTAGTATGAGTTAGAAGATATTAGAAGTGAAGAGTTAGGAGTAACAAATGCATGCCAGTCCATACATCCTGTGACAGTATTTCAGCTTTCTGCTTGTTGGTAATTATTTTTTTTCAAGTTTGTTACATGATATAAGCTACCTGTTTTATTAAACTCTTTGGTGTTGCTATCAGCATATGTGTAATAATTGTTCTTTCATCTCTTTCCCTCTTATCTCATTCTTTTTCCTTGCTTACTGGCTCTCTCTCCACTGTAAAGAGATGCAAGAGTGACAGACATCCATGGTCAGTAGTGGGAACACTTCTTCAGTATGTTTCATTGAGATCGCCTGATTCTTAGAGATAGAGACGGCCTAATACATAGAAATCATAGAGATCACCTGGTGTTTTGGACATCAATGAGGGTTGACATGCAGTAGTTTTAAATTCTATTACATATTTTGCTCCATGCGATTTTATCATACAGGTGTTTTTTTAGTTATCTACTTACATATGAAAAGCTAAGATGTTGGGAATGCATAATTTTTATCATGCCTGTATAATTAGTAAGGCTTTTTCTATTAGGTTTATTCATTTATACTATTAATGATATTAGGTCCTTGTTATTATAAGGACCTATGTTTTCATTTCCAACATGGAAATTTTGCCTTTATTGTGTGCCGGAATACATGATGGGTCATAAAACACAGATGTGAGTAAAATTTTATTTTAAAGAGAAATGGTTAAAATAAGACGTAAAACAGGTAAGCTAGCATTTTGATTAAAGCGTACAATTGTGATTAAATGTAGTACAGCTTGATGAAACTTCTCTTACCCATGTGAGGGACACAAAATTTTAATTTTATTGTGTTTCATTTTGTGTTACCCTAGTAAATGCCGCAGCATAAAATGTTTTGAAATATTGAATGAAGATATTGTCATCCTAACAGTAAAGATAAAGTCATTAATTGACACTGATATGACAAATAAATCCGTAGATTAAATTGAATGCTGCAGCATAAGGATTAACAACACAAAGTTTGAGTTCATAAACTTTGGTTGGGCGCAGGAGAACTGTTATTGTTAAACTAATGATCTTCATCTCTGCTATGTACTCTATATATATATAGGCCCTGACCGATTTTCTTCTCAATGAAAAGGGTGTTAATGAAAGTAATGATAGTATTAACTATGATGATGATGATAAAATATTGGTGATGATAATGATAATAGTGATGATGATAATGGTGATAATTAAGATGATAATTAATTATATATTTGTTGTTATTTTCATGATTTCTATACATATTATTTTTCTTATATATATTGTTGATTATTTGTGCTTGTATTTATTATTATTTTTATTAGCATTACAATTGTTATTATCGTTCTGATTATTATCTGATAATTATGACAAAGATGCAGCTAGCTATTATTATGGATATTGTGCTAGTTTTATTATTGATATTTATGTTTATCATTATTTTAATTATTGTTATAATTATTATTATTTTGTAAACCCTAATAACCACATGTCCTCCAGCATCTCTGTGCCCCTAATTGCAAAAGGGACCTGTTTTTTTATTAGTTCCATTAAGACAAATTTTATTTGATGATATGTCAAGAACTAGATTTTACTTACCCAAAAGAGAGATATTTAATTGTCGTATATCACATACTTACTGTCAGTAGAAAACATTATTGCTTTTACCCCCTGTAGATGCTTGGTAATGGGGATACATTACTACAAAATTAACAAAATGCTTCTAAAGCAACAAATTCATATATTTGATTAATCAAAGGTCAGAGATGTATTGAGAAGTAATTATGTTTATATATTATGATGTGTGAAAGATAAAAACACAATAATTTTTCAGACGGTAATTCTTTGACGTGTAATATTATAGTATTATGTTTGAAAGGGGTAATGTGAAGAGGACAAAAGGGTGGGGACTGACTTGATGAAACCCTGCAACACAGTACCAGAATTTCTAGTTCACACGCTATGATCGCCTCACAGCACTGGGACGGGAGGGCCCATAAGGGGAAGGGGGGATAGGAGGGATAAGGGTGTCGATGGAGAAAGCTTGCCATACAGTGCTCGATTTATTAGTGGACTTAACATACATCTCACTGATAAGGAAAAAGGTGCGGGGAAGGACGGGCCCTGCACAATCACGGCGAATAGTAAAGCTTGCATCTTATAAGGAAATGACTGTAGTGGTTAATTGTTTTTTTGTTATTATTGTTATTGTAATTATGACTATTATGACTTAGTGTTGTTGTCATTATTATTACTATTGCTATTACTGTTACTATTATTATTATTTATTTATTTATTTATTATGTAATTATTATACTTATTATATTCTTAATATTATTATAATATTGCTATACTAATAATGCCACTTATAATTATCATTATCATCATCATTATGTTATATCTTTATTAATATTATTACTGTTGTTGTTGCATTTATTATTTTATTATTATTATTATTATGTTATTTTTGTTATTAATATTATTGTTATTATTTATTATTTGTTGTGTTGTTATTGTTATTATATTATTATTATTATTATTATTTAATATTATTATTAATATATTATTAATATTATTATTAATATTATTTATATTATTTATTATTATTATATTATTATTATTATATTATTATTATTATTATTATATATTATTATTATTATTATTATTGTGTTAATATAATTATTATTATTATTATTATTATTATTATTATTATTATTATTATTATTATTATTATTATTATTTATTATTATTATATTGTTATTATTATTATTATTATTATTATTATTATTATTTATATTATTATTATTATTATTATTATTATTATTTATTAATTATTAATTATTATTATTATTATTATTATTATTTATTATTATAGTATAGTATTAGTAGTAGTAGTAGTAGTAGTAGTAGTAATATATTATTATATTATTAATAATATTTATTATTATTATTAATTATTATTAATATTATTATATATTATTATTATTATTATTATTATTATTATTATTATTATATTATTAATTATATTAATATTATTATTATTATTATTATTATTATTATTATTATTATTATTATTATTATTATTATTATTATTATTATTATTACTATTATTACTATTACTATTACTATTACTATTACTATTACTATTACTATTACTATTACTATTATAATTAACAACTACAAAAACTGATGCCAGTGGGTGCATCAGGTACTATTCTGGACCAGTATAGCACCAGTACTGAATTCCACATGCAGTTAGCTGCTTGAAAAAAGAATTAGAAACACAGAAGACATAGAATATCCTTATACGTCATGATCCTGGCTGCCGTGACATATATGCCACCCTGAAAGGAATCCAATCATGCTATAGCTTGTACATAGAGTACATGCCACCTGTCAACAATGGCTCGATGTCATGGTTATTCTAATTATGACAATGATAATGATAACAGTAAGGATAACATTAGGAATGATGATGACGGTAATGAGGATGATGATGATGATTATGATAATCATTATAGTGATAATAATGATAATTATAATGATATGGTGATAAGAAGAATATTAGTATTAAGAATAGTAATGATGATGATGATAATGGTAATTGTTATTATTATCATGATGATATTAAGGGTAATGGTAATGTTGATCCTAATGATAATGATTGTAATAAAAATCATAATAGTAATAATGGTAATGATCATGATGATGATAATTATCATCATAATTTATCTTGTACTATTAATATTCCATTATTGTTGTACAGTGTGGTATTGTCAATGTCATTATTATTGCTATTTTCATTATTTTCTTTGATATTTGTTTTTCAGTTTAATTTTATTTTGTTTTCATTGTGAATACTTTTGAAGCTTGTTATAGTTTTATTCCTTTATTTTGCATGGGTAAATTTTAGTTTGATCTTTGTTAATGTTTTTGTTTTACTGATCTTATACCTTTTGTTCTAATATGATCTTGATGGGTATTTAATACTAATGATCATAATATCAGTGTATATTATCTATATTATTATCATGTACAATTTAGTTAGTTTAAAGTTAATAATGCTAATATCATAATTGAAACCATTTTTTCACTACCAATATAACCTCTTGCAGTAACTGTAAATCTAATTTTATAAATCTTTCTCTTTGTTTTTTTCCTTATAAAAGCATATATTTACATGTGTTTAGCTAAAACTGAATGTTGTGCATTTATTATCATTTGCTTTATCTCCTTTTTTTAACCTTTTGTACTTTACCTAGTGTTTTTTTTTTTTCTTTTCTTTTTTCAATTTCTTCAATTTTTCACCTTTATTTCCATTGCTTTCCTTTCTCTTTTTTCTTCCCTTTTTCTTCTTTTTTTCTTGCATGGTTTCTTTGCTTTTTGTATTCTTTCTTTTTTTTTCTCCTCCATACCTTCTTTCACTTCCATTGTTCAGTTTTTCACTTTTTTCACTTATGATTTTTGTCTCCTACTTCCATTGTTGTTTCTCTGCTTCTCCTTCTTTTTTTCACTTTTTCTTCTGTGGTGATATCTAAATCCTAGCCAGTTTGGATACTGATATTCCAGTATAAATTGTGGTAGTCAGTTTCAAGCTTTTGCAGGTACCATTACCTGGGTACTTTTAACTGACCAGCACTTGCAAATGGCCCTTCTTTTGCAAATACCAGTAGGTGAATTCAAGTATCATTTAGAGATGGTAAACTGGCTGACGTAGATGTCACCAGGGTGTCTCTCTCTCTCTCTCTCTCTCTCTCTCTCTCTCTCTCTCTCTCTCTCTCTCTCTCTCTCTCTCTCTCTCTCTCTCTCTCTCTCTCTCTCTCTCTCTCTCTCTCTCTCTCCCCCCCCCCCCTCTCCGTCCCTCCCACACACTCAAAAACACATAGACGCACGCGCGCACCACACACACGCACACACACACACACACACACACACACACACACACACACACACACACACACACACACACACACACACACACACACACACACACACACACACACACACACACACACACACACACACACACACACACACACACACACACACACACACACACACACACACACACACACACACACAGAGTTAGAGTGAGAGTGAGTGAGTGAGTGAGTGAGAGATAGAGAGAGATGCAACGCTTTACATAGGTGCACGTACATTTCTGTTTAGACATACACACACACACACACACACCCCTTCTTGCTGCATGTGCCAGAAAAAACAGAAATGTCTTTTTCTTTATTTCTAGGCAAATGATCCCTTGTCAAAAGCTTGTCCTTGTTAATGTTCCGTTGAAGTCGGGTGCCTTGTTTCTTAAGCCAATCCACTCTTTAACATTTCAGCTGTTGCCCCCAGATTCGTCATCTTGAGTAAGCCAAGGTAAACACGTAATAACGCATATGGTGGAGGGTATGAAAAATCAGTCGATCCCTTTCTTTTCGCAAGTTCAAGTAGTTACGTAGTCTAAACAGTCTGTTGATGTTTTATTATTGATGAGAGGAGTTGAAATATTTTGTAGTAAGGTCACCCTTGGAAGAAAAAAGAGTTTTGTCAAGTGTTGATAAGACTTGCATGGATTTCCTTCAGCTGTATTTTTTTTTTTTTTTTTTTTTTTTTTCCTTTTCTTTTCTTTTTTTCCAGTTTATGAGAAGAGGGATGTATTGTCCTCCTCCTGTGTGTTTTGATTTCTTCTTTTGATGAATTTCGATTTCCTTAAACACTTTAAACAATTCCCTTGTGCAAGAGATAATAGTTTTGGGTTAAAACTGGAATATTATAATCATTATATTTTAAAATTTTGTTCTGTTTCTTGGTCTTTCTCTTCAAGTCTGTGGGATTACTTCCATCAGAAAGTTTGTTATAGGAAATCTATGCATTGTAGCCGATTTGTGATTTGCTAAATATATTGTTAGTTGCTATGAAGTCAGGAAAGTTGAGAGGAAATGAAGGTATACACTTTATAAACATACACATTGACACTGCTTTATTTCATGTCTAATGTATTGCTCAAGTCTTTTAGTTATGTAAGTTTTGATTCTTGCAGAAAGATCAGCTGAACTTTACTAAACTTTTTGAATTTAGATAACTGAGTATGTAATTTTAGAGGATTGGAATTGTATTAGGATATGAAAATCTATATCAAAAATAGATATCAAGAAGGAAATTTAGCATAAGCAGTGTGGTTTTAGTAGTGAAGAAGAAATTGGATATAAAACTTCTGTTTTCAAAGGATAACAAGGCAAGATTTTGCTTTTGTGTCGTCGGTGGCACATGGAAAATGATAAATTCAATTTTGGCTAATGAAAGCAGTGCACAGAGGGGAATCTAGGGTAGGTGGATGAGATTAGGGATTTGGAGCTATTATGAATGTATAGATATTACTAGTTCGAATAATTTTTGATACACTGCATAGTGTTCTTGAATGTTTGCATTTTCATATTCATATATTTTGTTCTGTATTTTGCTGATGCATTTCAACCCTCCACAACTTATGTACTAGATGTTTGACTAAATTTTATTTGATCCGGTATAACGCCTGCCAAATTTAGATATTTTATATTGACCAATCACCAACTTTGGCATTTGGTTTCATGTGTGACAAAGTCCTTCCTTTTCATCTAGACCTCTGCTGATGCTCTTCTTTTTAATATGGACCTGGAGAGGAATTTTTATTATTGTAGCTGCCTGCGTTTTCTGTCAATTTTCATTTTTCCTCATCTTGTCGTGTCCCACTATTCCTTATTGTTTTAATTTCCCTACTAACTGAATTGAATAAGGAATCATCCCTGTACATTTTTAACTTGCTGTAGATGGTGACCCAGGCTGATTATTTTTCGGAATCGGTAAAATAGAAGACGTCTTTGCCTTCATCATTGCCCGTTCCTGAAAGGCTTTCTGATAACCATAAAGCTCAAATGAATCAGGCCTATGAAGATTTAATATATTGACTTGTGTAATATGATAGTATCTTTTAGTGGGGGGGATCTGTAAAAGGGCATTAGGACTAGCACTAGATTTCGTATAGCAAATATGTAGCTAAGAAACATGGGGAAGAATTTAGACTTCGGGTAGCTTAAAATAATTAGGTAAATAGGATAGGAAAATCATTTAGTAAGAGTGAGTAAAGTGATAATACCTCTACTTTGGTAGTTTTTTTTCTTTCTTTCTTTTTTTCTTTTCTTTTCTTTCTTTCTTTTTTTTTCTTTTTTTTCTTTTTTTTTATCTCAGACTGAATTTTCTCTCCTTTTTTGTAATGGTCTTTTATCTTGTCCCTTTTAGTTATTGCTTTATTTTCTACTCTTGATTGTGGTAATGTAGTTTCAGTCAGTGCTTAGACTATTTTTTTGACATTTTAACAATTCTGAGAATTACCATGTATTTTTCCCAATTAGGAAGTTATTTAAAGTAATACTTATTTAAACTCTAATCGTATTTCCCTTCATTTCTTTACCATTTTCATAGATTTGATTTTGATCCTGTAGTATGTTTGAGATGTGTTATGATTATGAAATTTAATCTCTTGCAGAAGTTTCATTACATGTATTTTCCTGTTGTTGAATGTATATTGATATCCTGACTATTATGATTATCAGCATGATTTCACTTTTGCTAGAGAAGATGTGTGCAAATTTGTCTTACATTTCTAGTGTTATGAAGTTAATTTTACAGTGATCATGCTAGTAAAGATGATAATTTATTGTTACCATTCCCCATATAGTCACTTCTTTCATGTGTGTTTTTTTTTTTTTTTTTTTTTTACTACTGGTACTACTATAATCTCCTTGTTTATATCTTGTATCTCGTGTAAGATTGTTATCCCTGCCATTCAGTCGATAGGCCTACATTTGTCTTTGGTCATTTTCCATGCCGCATGTTTCAAAATGATATTAAGAGGTCTCCCCATCACACTAAAGCCATTGATAAGACTTTCAATTAACATGGCTCATAGTCTGCCACCTCAAGGCAGCTTTCTCCTCCAACACAAAACACTTTATAGTTTCGTTTGTAAGTATATCGTTGGATAAGTCTCTCACTTCAATTTCTTTTTTTATTAAGTTGCAGGCATACATAAGTCCTTGTTTATGAATATATTATGCTATTTGTTTATAGCCTTGTTTCCATTAGCTGGGCTACTTAAACCCTTGGTTGTGTACATATTGAATCTCTTTTACAGTGAATAATTAAATATGTTTGAAAGTATTTTTGAACCTTTATTACAGGCATATGCAGACCTATGAGTAAAGGCACATTCCAACTTTTATATACAGGAATTTTTTATTCATTAATAAGCATGTTTACTTTGATTTGTTTGTGTAATTTCAAATTTGTAAGGGGTCCTATTAAAAATTCTATTTGTGACCTGATTTACAATTTTTTACAACTTTTATTAGTACACTTGAATCTCATCTCAACTTTTTAGGCATCTCTATCTTTATAACAAAATTTAGGAGAGTTCATAAATTAATAAGATGGTTTTCGAACTTCTCTCAGTCACGTACAATGCTAAATCTGAACTCTAAAAAGCACTTAGGTGTTTTTTTGTGTAGTTTTGCTTCTTTAGTGTAAGTTAAAACAGATGGCTTTTCTTTATAATCTTTCTTTTTATGTATAAAGTTCGTCTGTATTTATGTTTTGTATATGAGTCTGCCACATGGTAGAACTTGCTTCTTTCAAGATATGGTTTTGCATCCACAATTTATATGAAGGAAAATAGGTACTGTATTTATCAGAATATAAGCTGCTGGCTCTTCTAAGCTCATGTACGAGTCTTTACAGAACTTTATATAGTAAATGCCTATCTTCCTTTGTCTTTTAGACTGAAAGATGGTATGGAAATTTTGTATATTTTTGTATATATGCTTCATATGATTTTGTAAAAAATATATATCAAATTGTATAAAGCATTTGCAATTGAAAAAAAGAGCATGGGTCTGTGAAAAGCAGAAACAGATGCATATACTCTTTCATTATTTAAGCATAAAGTTAGCAGCTGTGACTGGGTGATGGTGGTGGTGGTGATTGTAATGCTTATTGAATTCATAATTTTATTGTATGGTGTATCCCTGCATTTTGTATGGTTTCAATGCAAGGCTTATATTCTACTAAATATGGTATGTAAATGAATAAAATTAATTTAGATATGGCTTTATACTCACAATTCTTTAAGGACAAGAAACCTGTGGAATATTGTATTGGAAAATATCTTCTTAGTCTGGAATAAATCTGGATATACATATATATTATATGATAAAGTTAGCATGTTCTGTTACCCATTACATTGTACTTGTTAATAGTCTAATAAGAACCTGTTATACAAATAGATTACAGAGTCATATAGATTCTCATTTAAATGGACTTCTTCTAAAATTTGCTGTTACCTTACAATAAATCTGTCTTTAATTAATAACAGAGAGGTAATAAGTAACAGACTCGCAAGTTCTTTCTACATATACGCTTTCTAAACCACACACAATAATACTATTTTTACTCTTTTCAGTTTGTTGATCGAATAGGGGGAGACTCCAAGATGAATGTATGACAAGGAGAAAATGAAGACTTGTAAGAATCTTGATGTTACAAATCCAGTGGCTGCTGTGTTAGAAGAGGAAAGACAGCCAAAAGAGTGCCAAGACCCAAACATGAGAGGAGTTTGAGAGAAACTGTGTGTGAATTAAGGGACTGTATAAGGAATATGTTTAACATGAAAAAAACAGCAACTCTTAAAGGACATAAAACTGAATGAAAAGGGTGTTTATAAAATGAGGATAATATAAAACAGAACTTTGCTCTAATGGGTGCACTTAGTAGTTAACGTTCATTTCCTAGCCAGCTGATATACACAGCTCACCATGAATTTCAAATAAACATGTATATTGGCTTGTTTTCAGAACTGTTAGATGATGAAATATCTGGATTAATCATTTATTATGTTTTGTATAATATGAAGAGTGTAAATTGCTTTTGCCAAAATCCCGGTTTTCTTTCAGATTTCCACTTTTGTATAGATGTTTTCTAATTGAACTTCAGAAGCCTTTTGTCTCTATTGTAGCTGGTAAGAATTAGTTGATCTTTTCTGTTGATATTTATAAAGTATGAAATATGAAGTAAGAATTACTTGTTTCTATGATTATATTCCTCTAATAGAGAAGACAAAGTTCTCGCTTGCTAACAAAATATAGTATTTCTGAATTTATTATGGAATAGAAGAGCGAAGGATTAGCCTGCTGTAAATGAGAACCTTTTGACCATTTTGATATACTAGGACGCTTCACATTTCATCTAGTACCGACTCCTGTGAGGAAATTAGTTGGTGGTTTTTATGAACTAATCATTAGTATTCATACACATTGCATTGAATTTCATTCACAACAGTACCATGTCTTTATGACCTATGAATTCATGTCACACCTTCTGTGTGGCCATCATCCACTTTCGTATTGCCAGGATTTGCTACTTGTCAGAATAGTTGATGGAAAAGAGAATAAAAGACTGGTAGTTCAGTGTATAGGCATAGACAGCAAACTCTAAATTAAAGGCATCTGTTTCTATACAACCATGCTCTGATGCACAAAATAAGTATAGAAGTAGCAGTAACAAGAGAAAGAAAAATCTACATATATACACTGTTAGAATAGAAGATCACATGAAGTTGTCAGAGTTCATCATTGCAAGGTTGTAACAAGCAATTTTTATAGTCTTGTAAGTATACCGTGTTCATACATGTTTTGTACTTGCTCTTAATATTGTTAAATATCTTTGTGGAAGCAATCACAAAAAAGGAATACCTACACACAGTTTATTTTCAAGATGTGTTTAATCAGTGATATTATGGATATTAATTTTCTGTTTATAGTGATTAAGTTTTTCTGCAAAGGAATGATATTCTAGGAGGCTGGACTTTCTTTGTATTCAGAAATTTACTTACAAAAGGAGAAACTTATAAAAAACAAATGGTTTGATATAATGTGGACAGTGCATTAATGTGTATATACTTATAAATGTTCAGTTCTTTTTTTCTATTTTTCTTTGTATTTCGGGAAAAATGACCATTATGTATATAGATGCTAGTTTGAAATAGCAATGGGGCTTTTTTTTTTAAGTAACAATGGTAATGTGCTCCTGCTTGCTAAGTGTAAAATCTTGTGATAATTGGATGGCATAATTAAGGACTGCCTCTAGATTAACTACGGAGATTATGTACAGTATTTATTTTCTGAGCCATACTACAAGTGTACAAATCTTAACATGTTCAAGAATATTGTGTATGTAATTTAGCAGCTTCATATTTCTGGAAATAAACATGTTATATTAAAAAATACTTCTTAATTATGTTGTACTCAATGACTGGAATACTTAATCGTCTGCTAAGCTCAAATAGTGGAATGCAAAATTTACTTCACTTTTCTATATTTTCTTTTATACAGTTTCATTTTGCAAGAGACTGGCAAAGTTAATAAATAGAATATGCAGTTAAATCCCTGCACTTTTGCAGACTAATAGCAATGGTAATGTCCTACAACTATTTAAGCATGTTTGTACGGTTACTTCTAAAATTGGTCAGTGTCAATTTGCCAGTTTACCCTGTGTGTTACTGTACAAACAGACATCAAATGTTAAGGGAAAAACATTTCTCATAGCCTTCCAAATCAGATAAAGTGGTTTCATTTTTGGTCTTCTGATGAATACAATACAGTAACATGAGTGTGGTATAGTCTTCTTGGAAACATAGCTCTGGGTGCATTGTTAAGTTCTTCTTAAACATCATTTGTTATTAGTTATTGATTTTTTAATTATCATTCTGTATATTTGTAATTTCAAAAAAGAAGAAGAAAAAAAGCCCTTGCCTCAAATATAATTTTATATTTTATTGGTACCTGGCCACCAACAGGAAGAGAGAAAGAAAAGCATGGAGCAACCACACAGAAATACATATTTTTATATATATTACAATAACTATTGTTCTTTTATATTACAATCTACTGTGAATAGGTAATGAAATAGCAGTCTGATGAAAATTTATATTATATACATTTATTTATATCCAAAGTCAGGAAACGGAACATATAATTGTAAAAAACTTCAACAATACAGTTTTCTTGGGAGGGGAGAAATAAATAACAATTATTCAGTGCACTGATAAAATCAAAGCGTAAAATAGTCTCTACTTAAAAGAACTGCTATGTACATTTTGGTGAAAAATCATTTAAAGTACTTTTTATTTATACATGTGATTTTCACCATCCAGCTTGAGTACCGGCCTCTTCAAAAGGCACAGTGAGCATAGACTGCATTAGAACATGCATTTAATGTATACATTTACTTTGGGATGACATAATTATAAGGCCTGTTAAAAGATTTCCAGAAAATAAAGATGTATCCTAAATATTACTCCTGAATTGTATGAAAAAAAAGAAAGGAAAGGAAAGACAACAAGGTGACTAATAAATATATTAGGTAGCATATCTTGAGCCTTTTCCTTCAACTTCACTCCGCTTAAAGGACACCAACTGCACATTTTCTTTATCTATTTATTGTTATATATAGTGTTTGGATCAGTACATAGACAAAAATTAAACTTGAGTGTGTGAAACAAATAATGGAGAATATTTTCTTATTCTTAACTTAACAACCTGAAAAAACAAACACACTTGTTTATGCCGTAATTTTCCGTTTTGTGTTGCATGCTACTTTTCGATTACAAGATTTGGGGGGCTGTAAAGGTGACCAATCACAACCTGGAACAGAAAAAAAAAGAAATGGGTGGTCACAATTTAATATAAAAAAGAAAATATATACAGAACACTAAAAATATTGAAATTGGAGAACAGGTATCTCATAAGACCATTTGTCTAAGTAAAACATTCCTGTTCAAGCAGCATGGCTATATTGTGCAGAAATTAGTCATTTCACAAAATGACACTTTGAACAACAGGACCTGCATGGCTTCTTTAAATACTAGATGACAGTAATGATCTTGATATTTGTAATGAAAACCATATTACCAGAAAGTGAGAGACCTTTCCATTATCTGGGATCCAACAAAACAACAGTATTTAAGGGCACACAGAAGAATCTTTTCAATAGAATACATAAATTTGTCAAGATTCCTAGGACATAGCGACTTACTTGTCTCCTTATCATATCTAAAGATTCTCTTGCTGCTTGCACTTCTCTCTGTTTTTCGGCTTCGTTGGTAATATTTTTGCCAGCTTTAAATCCATCTCGAACTCTTCTAAGTGCATATTCTCTGAAAGAAAAACACATAATCCAGAACATTTGTAAAACATTTGATAAGACTGCAAAAGATATTTTTGTGAATAAACATTTGAGTAAAAAATTATACAGCCTTTATTACAGCCCTTACTGGAGACATCAAATAATAAGAGGAGGAAGGGTAGTGGTTGTGATGTAGGTGGTTATGGTGGTGGTGTTGGCAGTTGTAGTGGGTGGAGTTGGTGGTAGTGGTTATGATGGTAGTGGTGTTGGTGGTTGTGATGTTGGTGATGATTGTGGTGGGTGGTAACTGTAGTGGTTGTGGGAGGTGGTGGTGGTGGTGGATGTTGCATTGGTGGTAGTGGTTGTGATGGTTGTGTTGGAGGTTGTGATGTCGGTGATGGGTGATTGCAGTAGTGTTGGTGGTAGTGGTGGGTGGTGTTGGTTGTAGTGGTTGTGGCAGTAGTCGTGATGGTGGTTATGGTAGGTGGTGGTGGTGTGGTGGTGGTTGTGGTGGGTGGTTGTGTTGGTGGTTATGGTGGGTGGTGGTTGTGTTTGAGGCTGTTGTGTTGGTTGTGGTTGTGGTTGTGGCTGATGGTGGTGGTTGTGGCTAATGGTAGTGGTTGTGTTGGTGGTGGTAACAACTAAGAATATAGAAACTCCTAATCCAGCCCTCTCAATACATTAGACTAGATAGTTACAATAAACAGGAGAGTAATGCGAGATGTGTAAAATTGATAAATTATTAAGAGAACAGCCAATAACTATCCATGATGAATATTAAAACTTTGTTCTCCAGATGAAAGAAAATCATGTGGGCTTTGAGACACTGAGTACATTTACTGTGGTAAATAAAAGAGAAAAAGACATGGCCTTCTCGGAGGATGGTCAAAGATATCAACTTTTCTTCCTCAGTAGTATACATTTTTCTGTTTACCTGGTGTTGCTTTTTTGGGTTGGCCTTATTGCAGGTTTATGGAAGACATTAATACCAGAAACAAGAGAAAAATAATTGAGCTGAAGGAAGCTGCAATAACCAAAGGAAATGGTTGTCCGATGGTTTATCCAGGTTCTTCACTGCATGGCAACTTCAAAAACCAACTCTGAGGCTGCAGTTTACATTATGTATACTCACTTTTCCAAACAATGTAGGATTACTTTCTTTATGGCAGAAGCAAAAACACAAGCCTCAACATATCTCTTGATAATACTGTTTGCCTTTGGAGAAGATTGCAAAGGCCTTCCCTAGATATTTTAGGGTGTAGTGTCTCCCACCTTACTCTGAAACACTAGCAGTACCTCTGCACTATACAGGATGAAATGCATTTCAGAGCCATAGTTTGGTATCTAGCTTTCTTTTCTCTTTTTTTTTTTTGTGTGTTTTGTATTCATCAACCCCATCATGAGGCCAGCAAACCCAAAAAGTTAACACAAGGCAGATGAAAAACCAGCAACACCAAGTAAAGATAAAAGTTGCTGTCTTCCTTTTTCCATGCTCAAATCAGAGCTAATAAATTAATTTTTAACTTCTTAATTTTTCTGTTCCATAGCTATAACTTCAAACTTTAGTAAGCTTCTGTTTCTTCCCAATAATGTTTCAGAGGTGGATACAAACTCGATATGAAAATTCAGCGGGTGGTGTCATCTGCCGAACCTTTATGAAGGGCACCAGATCTGTGTGTAAACCACAGGTGCAGACATATTCAAGCCTTTTCTATTTTGAATATATCTAAAACACACATTTTCCAGCCCAGTATCAAACTTCTACAACCAGGCACCTTGTTTAGAAATTTTGAACTCTCCACTATTTTTTTGGTGTATACTTACAAGGCTAGGTATGCAAATGAAATAAGAAATTAGGTGCTTTGAGTACAAAATCTCTCCCTTTGGAAAGTTTAAGAGCTGTATCCTATCAAAAGGAGTCACTTATGTAACAAATGGTAATAAATGCTTGCCTTAAATCCTATTTTCATTTTAAGAATATACAATTTTTTCTGAGAAAAATTATCTGAAGTGCAAAATGTAAGGTTTCCACACTGGGTGAACCTAAATTTCTAGAAAAATACGGCATGTCTGTCATTGGAATTGTCCATATCACCTGTTGGGACTCCATCTATGGCCAACATAACTACCACATTTATTAAGCAAAATTGATATAGAACTCCATATCAATTGCTCATCAACTAAGTTACCAGTCCATCATTCTTGCCAGACTTACAAAGCTTTCCTGAACTCTGACACAGCACGTATAAAGGTTGCAGGTATTGCTTAATAATGCTCAACTATTGGGTTGTAATTCAAATTGTAGGCCTACAGACATGGCAATTTTTGAGTGGATCTGTATAGAACATAATTAAATCAAAAGACACAAATAATATCCTGAAAATCAAGGCTGATATCCTTTAAACATTTACTCTAAGTACTAGTAATTGTATTTTTCAACATAGCTGGAACCCCTGAACATTGTACATTACCAATGCTCCTTTTATGTCACAAACATCAGAATCTATGTTGAAAAAGCTTTCAATACCGACTTTGAAAATTTATCTAGATACGAAATTATGAAAGTACATAATTTTCCTTCAATGACTATCCCTACACCAGCGACACCAATAAAGGAATAATCTATAATTCACTCTCATTACTCATTTTCCTCGATATAATAGCACTCCAGAGACCAAAATTTCACAAAACACAAAGAAAAATATGATCTGGAAGCGAGACACACCTTCCCACTTACCAAAAAAATCTTACTTAAAAATCCTGATTCCTTCCCGAGTTCGCGTGATAGAACTCACCGCAAAGTACACGCAACATTCCCCCCATTACGACAAAAACTAAGAAATGTCCCCCATACTTAGAAGGACGTCTTTAACTCCCATAATCACCTGTAATTGTAGGCGGGGAACTTCATGCTCTCTCTCAGTAGCGATTTATAGAGGGAGAGAATTTCGCGTCTTCCTCCGCCGGCCATCGTGTTGTTTACCTCTGTCGTTCGAACGCCGCCGCCTGACTTCGCCTTCGTCTTCGAGATGTTTTCGTGTTGTTGGGAATATCTTTCAAATTATGTATATGAAATCAGTTTTGTTAGATGGGGGATATTGGTTTTGATTTTCTTTTAAGCGTTTCACTTTTTAAAGGGTTTGTATGTTATTATTAATGCTAGGTAATGGTTATTCGGGGAATGGAAAGGAATGCCTCTCCAACGTTATATCACGCCTCACTGTTGCGTCATTTGCGGTTTAGAAATCAGTAGAGAAATGACAGTTTTGCAAATATTCTTTTAATCACTAAAGCAACAGGTAATCTGCAAAACTACCAAGCATATACGAGTAAACCAAGTAATTATGGGCAAATTACCTCTTGATTAAACCCAAATTTGAGAATACGGATTATTGGCACCATGCTTTCCCTCAAAATAAAAAGAATTTTCTCTTCACTTGCTAGTTTAGAAATAACTCCAAAGGAAAACTTGGAGAAATTCAAGATAAAGGCGAAGGATTTCCAATAAAATGAAAAAGCTAAAAAGTTTTACCCCCGACACACAAAAAACGTTCAATACCCATATTAGAAATTAGTCATTATATCCACATTTCACAAAAGTTCTATCGCAAAACATACCGATACATAACAGGAGGATCCATACAAAAGAGTATTTTCCTTCTCGATCTTTATTTTATATGTAAGGATCCTATCTGAAACCTGGCACGTAGAGGAATGTGTTGGCATGATATCAGGATAAAAGCTTACTTCTTTCACCACAAATCAATATGAAAGAAAAATGTTTTCAAGGCCATAAAAGAAGTATGAACAGAAAGGATATCTCCCTTTCTAGAAACCAGAGAAAATTATATATTCCCACTTTACAATTTGTTTTTACATAGAATAGCTGATCCCCACATTACTTTTTTTGAAAGTTAAGTACAGCCTGATGTTAGCACTGAGTACTGACTATCTGAAGTCTGTTTGTTCTTAAGTAAATATATTTGTTAAAACTTCAAAGGTTCAGGAGCAAAAATGCAAATTTAATAACAAATGATTTATTTACATACCATATATACATAAATTTCTACAAAGATGCATATCTGTCTTGAAAAAAAGGCTCAAAATCTATACAGAAGAGACAGTACACAAAGATTAAAGGAAGTCAAACAGTTATCTGATCCTCTGAATGAAAACAATGAAAAAATCATACTGAACATTATTCAATCCTGAATTTCTTGCTATAGGATACATTTACTTTTTTTTCCTTTCTTTAATTACAGTTATTACATTTACTTTTTTTCCTTTCTTTAATTACAGTTATCTGATTACAACATTTAGAGATTCTGCAGCAGTTTTTTCTATCTCCTTGTGTATAACATTGACTTCTTCCTGAGTAAGAGTCCGCTCCATGTGCCGATACACTATTCGGTAACAGTGGGAGGTCATTTTCTTTTTTGGGTGAGTAAAATTATCAATAAGGGTAACCTGAAAGTACATATAAATTAAGATTAATTTCTTAATAATGCTTTACTTTTACAGATTCTTGTAAAAATTATGTAAAATAATACCTATATCATTAAAATCTATTATATGCATTTACAAGATACTTTACTGTAAACAAACTTTCTTTGTAAACTTTATGCCATTTTACAGTAGAAATTTTGTGTAATCTGTCTTCAGTAACTAAATAATGTCTCACCTGCTCTACTGTGCTGCCACCAATGTTCCGTACAAGATCATAAAAGTCAGACGGTTCATATGCTCCATCTCCAGGAAGCCAGAAACTGATGTCATTGACACACTGTGGATATTGACTCACATTCTAAAAAGAAGAGATTGGAAACAATAAATATTAAGTTACAAACCTGAATCACACAATTATATCAATTAACTAATGAAGTTAGGCCATCCTAACATGCTTTACAATTTGTGTGAGAAAGGACATACCTTATATCTGATATTCTTAGATGAATCCTCAAACTTAAATTGTGACAAGAATCCAGAATCTGACGACCAGAACAACCTAATATCTGGGATGCCATAGAGCTTCATGGCCCATCGCTCCAGTCCGAGGCCAAATGCCCAGCCAACTTTGTCTATCACCCCAGCTATAAGGAAAAAATACATCAGGCTGATACAACAATAAAAATAATTTTGATGGAAAAAAGTATTAAAGTCATTCATGAAAGCCAAAGTAGTTTTCCAAATACTAAACAAATGGACGTATTACAACACATTACTACTAATTTGTAACAAGTATTGGATCAATACACTTGCTCTCATAATGCTTTACTTTAGCAGGTAGAATTACATTGATTATCTTATGAAATGCACACTTCCTTATATATACCAGCATATACATTTCAGAAAATTAAATATAAGCATAAAATGACAATACACTAGACTAACCATTTACTAGAATTTCCTGTTCAATCACACCACAACCAAGAAGCTCTACCCAGTCATCGTTCAGTTTAACCTCGAGTTCCCAAGAAGGGTGAGTGAATGGAAAGTATGCATCTACCCATCTCATTTCAGCATCTGAAAAAGGAAGCCAAAACATGTAATTTTAGTGAAATAAAGTCCTACATATATTATTTTGATTTTTAATGTTCAATATCTTTTAACCTTAACATGAATATACAGTAATGTATCTTTTATCAATGCTGTGCTATTCATTAAGATGTTTACAATAAGCAACATTACAGAATTTGTAATTACACTAGTTATCCTTTCCACTATCTTACTATATGTTATAACACATTCATATAATCCATATTTTCCGATATGAATGTTTAATGTTTAATGTTTGAAACAAATAAATGTGATAGACATCAAAGGTCATATAACACTATTGTAAAGTATTTTGTCAGAATGGGTAAAGTATTGTATCAACGGATAAAGAGGAGTTAAAGATAAGGATAAAATGTGTTAGATGTCCATGATTAGAGTGCATTGTAGGATAGTATGGTAGTGAAAAGGGAAAAGAGGGAAGTGAAAAAGAGCAGAGATTAGTAGAAAGGGGAGGTTTAAGGGGGTAGGGTGATTGAGTGAATTACAGTGTATCTGTTGCTAGGGAAGGTATAGGAACAATGTTCACAGAAAACAGAGATGGTTGTTGGAAAAGTAGGAGATGAATCTGGGGAGAGGGGTTTGGGTGTTGGATGTCAAAGATTAGTGTTTTAGGAAAGTATGGTAGCAAAAAGAGAAAAGAGGGAAGTAAATGAAGTAGAGCATGGATTATAAAAAATGGGAAAGGTTAAGGGGCATAGCAATTGAGTGAATTGCATTGTGTCTGTAACTAGGGAAGAAATAGGGACACTGTTCAAGGAAAACAGAGGTGGCTGTTGGAGAAGTACGAGGAGAAGAATCCGGGGGATGAGAAAGGGAGACTGGAGAAGATAGTAAAGTATCAAGAAGAATGTCTGGAGGGGAGGGGTCTGGAGAAGAACACCATGATAAGAGAGGATTCATGTGAGTATTCAGGTGGGGGTATGTTGGGAGGAAAGGGGGTGGAAGGAACTTGAGGAGGAGGAGAATGGATATCTGCAAATACTTTAAATGTAAGAGTAGGAACAGAGGGATTGTGGGGTGGATGAGGGAGCAGAGTTTTCCCTTGTGTCATCTTTAAGAAGTTTTGGATGTCTTCATGGGATTCTGGAAGGGAGTTGGGTGAAGAGGACTAAGAAACAAAGGTTCTCTTGTAGGAGAGATATAGATCTGAGGAGCAGAAGAAGAGGATATAGTAGAAGAGGGTGGAGTGGAATATTTAGGTTGCCTGGTGCAACAAATAAAGTGAGGAGGGGTAGGTATCAGGGAAGTGGTAGAGATTGCAGTATCTGGATTTAGACTGGAAAATGAATTTGACTGGCAGATGGGGTGAGTTTTGGAATGGATGGACTTGTCAGTAAGTGTTGAGGATGGAGTATTAGTATCAATGGTTGGAGCTGTGGTCAAAGGAGGGGCAGGGATCGGAAAACCATCAAAATCAAATTTAGATAGGCTAGTTGATGAAGGGGCAAGCCTTAACATCCCTATTAAGGGTAGAGAATCTTTATTATTGGCCATGGTGAGCCTGAATAAAAAGGGGAAAAGAAACGGTCTACCTCTTATGGCCCCATAAGGGGTAAGGCTGGCAATTAAGCAAGGGAATATGTGCCCATGATAGGGGTGATCCCTTACATTGGGCCTCAGTCTCCATCTCCTAATCCCTCACATGACAACAACAAACAGGATATTGGGAGGGTTTCGATATGAAGCAAATTTCAAACTTCTGACATAGAGCATAGTACAAATATAGGATACAAAAAAAATGCAATCCTACCTTTGCCAAACAGAGTCATTGCCAGACCCTCAAGACAACCTTTCAAATCTGCCTCTAAAAGCTTCACAGCCTCTAGATTGTGAACTCCTTGTTGGGTTTCTGAACGTTCTGTGTTTTCAAAGAGTTGGAAGTCATCCATGTTCTGGTGACTTCCAAAAAGCTGCAAATAAATAATGGCCTTTGAGATATAACATCAACAGCAAATAATTCTGAGGTACACTTTTGAGAGAAGAAATAAACTTTTTGAAGTTTTATGTTCTACAGTTCTTTTGTAAAATGCAAAATATATTTTACATGATATCTAGATATATCATAGAAACACAAAAAATATTTAATCTTGTAGAAGTTTTAGTGCTAGAAGGAACATTTTTGCTATGTGAAGCTAACACAATATGAAAACTTCAAGAGTCAAAAGGTAAACATATAAACCAATTTGAATAAAACATTTTAGGGTTTTTTTTCGGCTACTTACTTCACTCTTTGTGGTTAACCTCACACCCTCTACTTGATGGAACACTGGGTAGTGTGATGCATCAATTTCATCTCTTCTATACACATCACCCATAACCAAGAAGTTATCAAAACCCATACTGATCAATTCACTCTGGAATTATGAAAAATGCACTCAAAAGTGGTGTCATCATTAAGCAATTGATTCTTTCATATACCTATCTTTATAAAGAAAAAAGTCTATATCAATATCTATGCAATGCTAAACATCATAAGTAAACAATATAAAATAAGAAAAGAAAAAATAACAATAAAATTCATATCTGGTTTATGTGATCTTACCTGATGAGCACTTGTGTGAGCGCGCAGGAGGAAGTCCTTATTAATATAATAATTGTCACTCTTTTTTCTACTAACATGATCTTTGGGGATCAACAGTGAGTCAAAATTTTGATGAGGGGTGACAACAGGTTGTAGTCTATCATGGATGGAAAAAAGTGGATTTCCTCTGGGACTCAAGTATCTCGAATACATAAACTTGGAAATTCTTTGGGAAATGTGGTTCAAGGGATGGTACTTTTGGAGATGAAGATTCCTGCCAAGGTGCGATAGGATTTTGGGTGTCACGTTTGTCATTTCGTCTGCTTCATATGTCCTTTCTCCAATTTGAACCTGTAGGAATTCAATGTACATTAAAACAAGAAGCATATTTTATTAACATCATAAAAAATACTAACTTTAATTATCCTTTTTTATAGATAGCACAGTTTATATTCACATCTACACCCTTGCCAAAATTTCTATGTAGAAAGCAAATACATACTTTTCCTGATGAGACTTGAGCTGTTGTTGAGTTGAGCCTTATAAATGCTGGAAACCATGGCCTTTGCAATGGTTTTGATAAGAGTAATCTTGAACAGTGAAGAACCATTATACCTGCCTTCAAAAAAGGAGAGAAAAATAATATTGTTAAAAATGTACAACATAAGTATCTAAAATCAACTAAATACCTGGTTCAGCAAGGTAATTTGACACATGAAATTATATTTCCTCGGGGTTCCCAGACTAATTACTATGCTATGTATGATATTTATGAAAAATACTAACTGCTTCTACACATTTTTTATTGTTTTTTGTTTGTAACTACACTCCCTATTTGACAAATAGCTGAAGCTGCTGTTGACACTCTGGCAAAGTCCAACAAAAGTGTATTGCCAATAATCGAGCAGGGCAGAAGTTGAAGGTTTCCCTAGGGAATAATATTCAAATAGGCAAGCAGTTCAAGCTCTATCTTGCTAAAATATTTGTTTGCCTTCAATCTGTGTGCAAAGTGCGAAGGCCATTATGACTACTTGACACAGGCCTTCAGTAAGTAAGATTACCAGTGTAATCAAGAGAAACAAATACTGTTTCAAATGTCACTACAGATACCCACCTATTTTGTAAATCAGTTAAAATCAAATACACTCTATCTTTCAGAAGAGGTATTGTCATCCCACATTGACATATCACGAAATATTGAGAGAGCAGCCATGACATCTTCAACTGCATTAATGAGAGTTATTGCCTTGATGAATCTTAAGTCTGTGCATTGTTAATTGTATTTCTATTTGTATTGTATTTACTGACATACGTTTATAATGACATAATCAGTGGCAACCTTAACAGAAGTACGTACTCTCGCCCGAGAAAATATACAGCAGTTTCTCCTTTTCTATTATCTCTGAATTAAATGAACAGTCTTTCCGTTTTATTCCTTAATTACACATATGTTAACATTCAATAGTAATGATGTACAGTACATGAGCTGCTACCGGTTCTAGCGTAAGATCGCCAATGTTTTACATAATTGACATCAATATTCGTATAATTCACTTAAAAACTCCTAGTTCATGGTAAGAAATACAATAAAGAGTTATTCTAGAAATCCTCACATATTTACACATGAAAATACACGCTATATAAGGTTTTATTGTTAGTATTTTTACCTCTGAAGTCGAATCGGCGTATTGAGACAGCCAAGTGTTACGTTCGCTTTTAAAACAGTTACCGTACTCTGGCTCGTTTTCCCTTGTATCAATTATAATTTTGTTTGTGAAATGTACATATTTTTTCTAATCTATTAAAAAGATGCCCTGTTTTTTCATTATGTGATTAAGCTCAGTATTGGTAAATTACAATGATGTTACATATAAAAAATATTAATATTACCAACCATTCTAGGCGAAAGAAACCACTGTATCTTGTGTGTGATGTGTGTGTGTGTGTGTGTGTGTGTGTGTGTGTGTGTGTGTGTGTGTGTTGTGTTGTGTGTGTGTGTGTGTGTGTGTGTGTGTGTGTGTGTG